CATATTACTCCTACAACCTACTGACAAATTATACATAGCAGATCAAGAAATATATGTCTAGGTAAGGTTTATCTGAGAACAACTGGTGTTTGCCTAAGATTTATCTGCATGACACACAGTAATTAAAAATACCAAACTGGTGGAACTAACCTTCTTGGGTGTTTAACAGACATACTTTGAGGCCTATAATAATTTGGTCAGAGGGACATAAAAGACACTTTTTGCTCCTAGCCCTCCTTGGTCGACTAGTTCCAGGGGACTATAAGCATCTCTCAAAAAAGGTTTTTTTAAGCTAGGATCTCACTGTGGCCTTGAATTTGTGGGGTCCCTCCTCCTTCATCTGTCTCCTGAGTGCGTGGGATACAGTCAGAGCCACCACTCCCAACTTCTTTTTTCTTAAGACAGGGTCTCATGTAGGTCAGGCTGGCCGTGACCTTGCTATGTAGCTAGGATGAACTTGAATTCCTTGATCCTTCTTTCTCCATTTCTCAAGTATGTAATTACAACGATGTGTGCCAGGCTTTAAAAAAAAAAAAAAAAAAAAAAGAGGGCATTTTAAATCTGGTAATTTTCAGGTCTTAATAGAAAGCTATCATAATATGCTCCCATTAGTCCTTCATTGTTTTGTCCAAAGTTGTAAGGAGAACATCATATTAGGCTTTTGTGTCCTGGGGAACAGGAGGGTGATTTACACTGTATTATTTTTCTACTTGTTTTTGTGTGTTTTTTGAGACATGATCTCTCTGTAGCCCCAAGTTGCCTGGAACTTGCTATAATAGCTGGCCTTGAACTCACAGAAACCTGCCTGCCTCTGCTTCCCTAGTGTTGGGATTGAAGGTGTGCTCCCCCACACCCAACGTGTATTATTTCTCTTTCACTTAAGTTTCTCAAGAACAGAGAATGTTTGATGCAAATCCCAGATACTGTCAGGAAAATGTTTGTTATATATTAAAATGAACACACATTTTGGTTTTGTAACAACCATGGATATTTTAATATTAAATTTAAAAAAAATTCTATATTGGGGCTGGAGAGATG